GAGCATTTCTGGCATTCGTTTCCTCAAAGGCAGATGATGAGCTTATGTTGGGTGGTCCTGTTGCTTAGATTCGAACCTGGAAGTACCTCTCTGCAAATCGATCACTATGATGCTGGTAAAGCTGCATGGACTTCCTTGAGTGGGACATTTGGATAGAGAAACCAAATGACAGACCAAATTCAATTTTTAGTAGAGATGTTGCGCATTTGGGGGGAAAGCGCAAAAAAGAGAGTGCAAGATCGGGTGCAGATTTGCAGCTCACAGGCTTGTTTCCTGAGGCAAATGATCACGCCTTGCCCATTTCTGGCCCAGAGCGCGTCATGTCTCTTGGATGAGGACAGGGTCAAGCATGTCCGGGCCTGAGAACCCGGCGCTGCACAGACATCCTGCTGAGGTTGCCCAGGGAAGCCATTATTACTCAGATTATTAGGGTGATTGCAGGTTATCTCTATTGCTTTTAGTACTACTCTTATATTACCAATTATTAGGGTTATTACAAGTTATTTCTATTGTCATTAGTACTACTTCATTTTTATACTCTTAGGTTACCCTTGTGTTTTGCAGCCAAGCCGGCCTTCAGTGGACTAGAGGACCCAACCCAAACGGAGTTCTCTGCATCCAAAGAACCCTTGAAAGCACACTGTTAAGGTTTAGGGTTTAGGGTTAGAGTCCGAAAATGCTTGAGCAGACGAGACGTTGAAGCAGTGAGGCGCCGGAAGCCATGCCTAGCTGCGACCGCGATCCTCGCGATCGTCGTAGGCAAAGGGGATCAAAACCGCCATGCTCAGAGCGCATGCGGGGATTTCCCTAAAGGCTTCATATGATTCCTGCAGGCGTTCCTTCGGGTGCTACGCAAGCTGAGGTACACTGCATGCTGTAATGCACATGTCACAGCATGTCACAGCATGTGACATCAGTTGATGGCAATCAGGAGGCGGTCAAAGTTTTCGAGCAGGTGATATCAGGCAGGATTTGGCAGTCTTCCACTGGCTTGCAATTTTGTCCAAACTGGCACCCTGACTAAGATGCCGACACCGCCCATTTCCAAACTCTCCTCAAGAAAGGCCATAAATCATCCTGCCAGCAGCCCGGCAAAAGCTTCACGTGCCAAGGCCAAGGGCGGAGGGCGTGCATTTTGATGTCATTTGATACTGAGGCTGTGGCTACTGGGCAGACCGGCCCGCAGTCCGACTTCAGCAATTCGTGGCTGGGCAGCTGGATGTGAGTCGGAGGCGCTGCTTCTGTCCTGACATCTTCAGCAATTTAACAAAAAGCGGAGTCTGTGCCGCAGGCACCTAGGCGATGTGCACTTTGACAACATCACGGCCGCAATGCCCCCGGAGATGGCGGGCATTCAACAATCCGCGCTTCTTTCCATCGCCTGCATGAAGGTCAGAGCCATCCAAGATGAGTCTAGTTGGAGCATTTCGCCCGGCGGTGTACGAATTGATGCGTGCTTGGCAGCTTCAGCTGGACAATGCAAGACTGCGGAACCTAAGGCAGTGTGGCCGTACTTTATTTAGATGGCGACGCTCAGGCAGGGCTTTTCGCGGCCATGAACTGACAGATTGAGTAAGAGTGCCGGTCCAGTCGATGGCTGATTGACAGGTTCAGCTGCAGCATCACGATCACCACATCGTGGAGACCGTGGATGTGACCTCCGGCAGCTTGATACAGGCAATTCACGAGCTTTGTGAAATATGATATCCTCTCGAATCAAAGCCCACTATCCTCTCCAAGCTAGATTGGCCAGATGATCGCGGCAGTTTTGCACAATGACCAGGTTCCTGAGGGTGCCGTGCTTCTTCACACCAAGCCGTTACAAGTTGCTGCGGCCTCGAACAAATGTCAGAGTTTCTATGGTCGAGTAGAACTGGAAGTAGTCAGCATGGTCTAGCAAGTGCTGAATGTAGCATTGTTGAACCTCTCTGTTCTGCTTTGGGAGATCGGCTGTTGAGGATCATGGGTCTATCACATTCTTCCGCGAGTATCTCCCCACAAAAGCCAGGATAGAACAGGAGGGCGCTTGCCCAGGAGCCTTCCCCGAACGGGCAAGCCTGGATTTCACCTAAGGCGGGCATTTTTGCATGATTCTGTGAGGCATGGACCCGTATCCGAGCTGAAGATTCCCCGGTACGCGGCAGTCATCTCAGCCAAGCGTGTGGTTCAGATGCAAAGGAACCTTGAAACGACTGCACGCTTTGCTTTTATTTGCGTGCTTTCGCAGTGTGATGCCTGAATCATTAGGGAAAAGACGCTGGCTGCAGGTTTCTTCGAGTTCTACCTCGCGCCCCTGGCTGAGTGCTGGGTTTGTAGCGCATGTTCTGCAAATGTCAGGGTAAGAGCGCTGATAGGATTTGTATGCAGGTCTTGGGTACAACGAAATTTCGTGACGCCGTACGACACGGCGTCGCAGCGCAAGTTTTTCCGAACGCACACGCGACATCCTCGGACTTGCCCTCAGCTGGGGACAGAAAGGAATCGCATTGAAGCGCGCCAGCACGCAGTTGATGGATTGCTGTTTGGTGATTGGAAGGTATTGGCATGGATTTCTTTGGAGCTTCATCGGCACGTCCGCGCCTAGGGTGAGGGTGGATGCACCAACTTCAGGAATGAGTGACCTGAGGTTTTGCACTGTTTTTGCGTGCTTACCGCTGGCTTGGTTTGGCTCCGCTCTCGGGTGTAGAAGCTACAAATCACCTTCACTGAAACCCGGGGCTCTTGAGGCATCCAGATGCTTGCGAGTTTGCACGGCCGAGATGACCAAGTTCCCGACGAATGTTGCCTGGCAGAATGAGGACCCTGTGCTTAGAATCCACATGGCAGCTGCTTGCATTGGCAGGTCTTTCGCCAACTTTGCAGAGGGCTCAGCACGTCGAAGAGCAGCGCATTTTGGTGGGGTGCACCCAGTAAGCACACGCAATATGCTTCGAACACTAGGCTGCCTCGCGTGGGTCGCCAAGTTGGAAAAGGCAACGCTGGGACGTTTGGGATCCAGAGTTTTGATTCTGGCTTGCCTCAGGAGCACGCTGCAGCAGCGCACTGGGTTCCAAGGCCAGTTGGGACATTGCAGCTACTGTTTGGAATTGGCTTTAATGGCTTTGATCTGCGTCAATGGTCAAGCTAGGCGGCAGCTATTTGATAGAAGCCAGCGAGATTTGCACGTGTGAAAAAAACTTGCTGAAGCAGGACCATGTCAGGACAACCTCTCCCTGGAAGTGACGTCTGCCCCTTGGGTCCTGCAGCCACATGACGCATAGTCTAAACTCCTCAAAGGGGGCTATATAGGGTATGATATAGGAGAGTATTAAAGGGGCTGTTATGGCGGATAGACGGAGTTTAGACAAGGCTCACATGTCCAGAACTTCATGCGAACAAACCACAGCTGTGACATGCTGTGATGATCTTGCATGTGGTCCTGGCATTCACTTACTAGCGGTTGGAAGGGAATCAGGGAATATAGTATATGTTATACAAGGATAATACAGGGATCATATTCCCTGATTCCCTACTAACCACCAGTGAGTTCATGGTTGCACGGAGCCAGGATGCCGGCGAGAGGGCCGATGGCTGATGGCTTGGCCTGGCGGATTCAAGTTTGAATCTTTCGAAGAGAGAGAGCTTGATCCACAATCACTAGTTTGAACGACGAAGGGGAATTCATCATTCCTTCCCGTTGACTTTTGTGACCCGGATGGCATGGATACGTACCCCTGACCTATGTAGTTTCAGAGCCCTAAGTAGTTCCAAACCCTAAACCGCCTCTTAGCCATCTTCCTTTGCCGTGCCTAGCCGGGTTACCATGCAGCTTCCATCACACCAGAAGTACCCCGCTTCATGCGAGGGTTCTTCGGTTCCCGTCGTTTTTTGCACCAGCAGATAACCATATACTTCCCAAGACTGGGTTGCTGTGAAGGAACTTAAATGGGGTTACTATGATAAGGAATGCCCGCCATAATTCACTATATACCCATATTATGGTACCTGAAGCTCTGAACTTACATACACCTATACAGTCCCTGTATTCCTATATACCCATCTGGTAACTGAATTTAAGTTCCTCAACAGCAACCCAGATGAAGCCTACCCGAAGAATGGCATGGTTTCGTCAGGAGAGCTTCCAAATACCCGGGCCTTGTTTCGGGTTTAGAGTTGAGGGTTTAGGTTTTTTGTTGGTATGATGTCACCGAAACAGACGCAGGATAGGCTTCGACTCCGTTATCGGAGGTTGAGTTCCCAAGGCATCGTGCAACGCGCTGTCTAGGTTTGCAATTTGCAATGTGATGAGAGTTAGTTGTCCATAATTCTTGGAAACCGGCTTCTCACAAGCAGAAGCGTAAGGAAATTGTGTGAATTTGCCATAATTTGCCCCTCACCAGGGTGACCACCAGCTGGCTGGAAATTTCATAAATGCACAGATGTAAAGGGCATCGCGCCGATTCTCCTGGCTGCACGAGCTACGACGGAGCATATCTGCCGGTGCCCAGAAAGTTTCACACCTGCGCAGTTGCGACAGTCGCGTTACGCAGGCTCAGGCAACAGACCTATCCTCGGCGCAAGGCGCCCAACGTTGTTTGCAAGGGCTTCTGGGCCGGTTCGGATGAGTCTATACGACGGACCTGGCTTGCCATTCGTGTTTTCCGGTGGCATCTGACGAACATCTGTGGACGCCAAAACCAAGCCCGGGAAGGTGCAGAGAACACGAAGCGTGTCCCCAACATATTTGAGCTCTTACTTGAGGAATCGGAATTTTGATTAAGGAGATGCGTGAGCATAGCCTTCAGAACTTGCACCGCTCTGTTATTGTTTGTCGTGCCCAAGCAAGCGGGGGATGTGAATTTCGGATCTGCCCTGAGAGCCCGGAACAAATGCTTAAATGCTGTCTCCATGAAGTTACCACATCACCGGGCAGCTCAGCGTGCATCATGTACATCCAAATAAGATAGCAAGATTTTTATGCTAGACTTTCCTCAATTACACGATGCAAGCCTGACACTGCCATGCAGGCGGGCCCCCTTGATTTCTGTTGTTTCATTCTTCCTGCTGCTCGCTGATACGTTGTTATTTGTTTTTGGCCATACGTCTGCCTCACAATGCGCTTGCAAGCTCCTGCCTCGTTCATCTACAGCTGCTTCGCCTCACTTACCCGCACATGGATTTCATCTGTCAGCTGTGCCAGGAGAAGATGCGGCTGCTGAAGGATGAGACCTCATCCTACATGCCAGGAACCTGAGCATGCAGGAAAATCACAGCGCAGTGGCTGAGTTCGTTGAGCTTGAGGCCAGTCGCAACAGACTTCAGCGATGATGGGATGCCAACGTGCTCGAAGCAAGGGGAGCTGTAAGCGGATGAACCTGAGACAGTTGCCATGGTGCAAGGTACGATGACGTGCCGACTTCGTCTCTCTTGGCGCCTCGATCAAGACGCGTTGACATTGTGACATGCGAGTCAAGTTTTCACAAAGGATGCATGATGGCTCGGTAAGGCCTTGGTGGAAGCACCCGTTTTTCAATCCTTTGTTGGCGGGTGCCTCATATATCTCTTTGGCTGATGTTGTTAGCCACTGCCAGCTTTGAGGCGCCGTTATTCTCGCCAACGCTATAGTCATCGGTCTTGAGACCGACCAGATAGCCGACTACGAATGGCTGGATCCTCAGCGAAACAGTCTCCCAGTTCCGTCATCTGCTGCTGGCTATCCAGCCGCGTGTGGCAAAGTTTGGCACTGAGGCTATTTCCGATGCTTGAGGCTAGTTGCAGCCATTCAGAGATGATGCATCGCATGTCTATGCTGGGCCGATCTGCCAGGATGCCTTCCTCTTTCTTTTTGCAGTTGAGCTTTTCATGAGGCAGGCTTGAGTCAATGGCCCCCAAAGCCTTCCAAGCTTTAGCAGTGGTACTCCTGAAGCCAGGCTTTGTGCTTATGGCATTTTGGGCTTCTTCAGCGCTTCTGGATCTGTAATCCAGCCATGTTGCTTAGCGACGATAGCCTCATGCAGCTTCTGTCTGACTCTTGATCTCTTCTTCACGCCATCTCTCTCGGCCATGGCCAGGACTGCGGATGGAACGTCGAATTCCCAGCTCAGGATCAGGTCCCTTGGTGCATTTCTTGCACAGCTATCTGAGGCCTTTGACTTCACACTGGTGTTTCTGGGGGAAGCTGCCTAAGCCTGCCCAGTTGCTTTCGAAGCCCAGAACTTCAGGTCCTTGATGGCCCAGGTGCTTGATCGCGGGCTCTCGGCTCTCAACCGTCTTCAGCAGGGTCTGATCCTTGGTTACGGCCTGGCCGTGGCCGACCTTAGTTGGTCTGATCTGTTATCGTGAAGGTCCACAGCTCTACATCGTCCTGATGCGAGTCTTCAGGCTAGATCCATTCTTGCTGCGTGGCGTCTGTTTGCCTGTCGCCAGACCAGGCTGCTGCGAATCCTCCGGATTTTCCGCATTTTCCGAGTGATGAGACAGACGCATCCTTACCCCTTCTGAGCCAAGGTTGATGCTTAATCTTTGGAACTGAAGATGTGGATGCCGGGGTTCTGCTCAGGCTGCACATACTTGCTTCCAGTCTTTTTGATGCGGTTCAATCCGTATTTTGGGTTGGGAGCTGAGCCATCCCAAAGACCGAGGGACGAAGCTAACTTCTTGTACTGTCAGGTCAGCGTGATATGCGTTTTGATCCTGTACATTTGTGCCATCGTCCTGACCAGGCCATTCATCCTCAATACTTCATGATCATGCTTTTGATGCAGCGTCCCGCTGGTGCGAGGCTTGTGGGACATCCAGTAGATGGAGATCCGTTGGCGCCACCACTGCAAGTCAAACGCCCATCCAGATTTCGCGTGGTCCTAACGAGTACCTGGCCAAGGCGCTGGTGAAGCAAGAGTACTTCGGCAAGGGCCCAACTTGCAAGGAAATGCAAACTGGGTTGGGACCTCGCTCGCAAAGGCTCTCTTGGCTCATCTATGCTTACACTTTTCGAGCTCATGGCTTTCCCAAACATGGCGCTGGCCTAAGGCCTAAGCTTGCCTCGAAAGTTTGAGACTTTCTGGGACGTTTGGGAGCGTTATGCAGATTTCCCTGACTTGATTGCACTTTCTGAGGACAGATTCCAACCAGTCTGGGACTTGAACGGTCTTGATCGTCCTGGGTTGCGTAGAGGCAGCCGCATCCCTGAGGTCTATGCCAGCAACCCATCTCTGAAAACCTTCTTGGTGATTTTCGTCATCTTCGGCGCGTTCATGATGGCCGGGTTTAAGGGCCATTGGATGCTGTTGGTAGAGAGGCCGCGCGCGACTTGTGACCTACTTGCAGGCCAGCATCTTGACGGGTGTCATCACCGAGGGCATGGTGGAGAAGAGCCGGATGCGACAGGTCGACGCACAGTCCAGCCGTAGCTTGCGGCATTTGGTAGCCTGGTGCACGAGGAGGATCGACGGTTTGAGAGGGAGACTGCCAGCAGCCCAGTAGTGGCCGAGCGTCGGTGCTTGAGCCGTGCAGCCTCCAGGCTCGGGCGGTCTTCATTCGAATGTCCAGGAAGGTGCTGCAGGACGCAGCTGTTGTGTGCAGACACCTGCCATGAGCCATGAGCTGGGTCTCAGTGAGCTTGGAAGGACCACAGTGGTACCCACTCGAGTTACATCGACAAGCAGCAGTTCGAGAAGTGCAAAGATAAGGCATCGTGGCACGAGCGCGGTGAGTTTGCTCCTTTGTGCGGATGCTCACTTGCCAGGTCCTCGCCCTCTCTGAGGCGGACTCTACCCCCCTTCGAGAGAAGGTGGTGGCAAAGTTGCTGCCCAAGCATAAAGGTGCTGCACACTGCTGGAAGGACCTAGACGCCATCTTCGACTTGGTCGATTATGACGACTCTGGCATTGTTGAGATTGAGGCAGCTCAGTGCAAGAAGAAGCCAAGCTGCGGACTGCGGTGCTGATGGTGCTGCTATCAGGAGCTCTTGTATGGTATGGTGCAAATATCCGCTGAGTTGCGTCCTATGTCTGCTGCTTAGGAGCCACTGATGCGGTGTAGCTAAACAACAGTACCAGTACCAGCTTCGAGGGCATCTGAAGCTGAGGTCCATACTGGAACTCAGACGCAGCTTTGCTGGGCCTCAGAGAGACACGGTTCACAGCAGGGCAGACGCTTTGCTTTGGTGAGGCCCGTGGCTTGAATGCGGTGAGCCAACAGGCGAGATTTTGCGTTGCTTTGGCTGCCAGAGACTTGGACGGGCAGCTGCGCCCAAGGTCAGCATGTTGGATTCCCGGCTGCAGATGATGGACGCACGCTTGCAGGAGGCCTGAGGCTGTGAGCTTGTCTTGCCTGCTTCACAGACTCTGGCGGTCAGGCTTTGGCGAAGCCAAAGATGGATGCAAACCTGTAGAGTCACTGTAGAGCGTTGCCTCATGTGCAGACTTCCACTGAGTGGCGTTTTGCTTGTAAATTGGGGCAGCCGGGAAAGTGTGTGACAGATTCGAGCACGCAGCATTTTAAAATTGCTTTTCCAGATGCTCATTGAAAGCAATGACATCCTTTCCCAGCTGAGCCAATCACGAAGCTTGGAATGCCTTGACCAGCTTCCCGACCATTGAAGCTGCGCAAAGTTTGCAGCCGTCCCCGAGCGAAAAGGAAGACTGTTTTGGATGCCCATGCACGTGCTTACACCTTAGCGCACCTAAGATGAGGTGTCTCCCCAACAGTCCCACTCAACTTGTGAGAAGAGAAGCCCGAGTCTGCAGTCTCCCAAGAAGGACCAAGAATGGACACTTGGTCTTTTCTGTGTTGACTGTCTCATCCTGCCTTGCAAATGCTATTCTGTATCTTGGCGGGGACGCAAAATGACAACCCAATGAATCTGAGGCAAGGGAATGCATAAGGGCACTCTAGGGTTCCTTTCCGCAAGCTCACTTGGACTCCACACCTGCTGTTACAGTATTTCAACATCAAAGACTTATGCAGTGCAGCAACATATGCTGCCAACACTGCATCGTTTGACAGATTTTGTGTGGGTTGGAAGGTTTATGTCAGAGAATGCATGAGACGCTTTCTCTGCCCCACTGTGGCCACTTGTGCTTGCAGCATTCCATGCTTGTCCATCGTCAGGTGCTTCAGTAAAGCGTCAAAAGGCCGTAAATCTGCAAAAGAGGTTGTATCGCACAGGAAGCTACGACAATTTTTGAAAGACGTTTGGATTTGTCCAATGCCAACTCCATCTCCGTTGCTGCCAACTCCATCTGCAAAATCCCAGCTTCAGGCTCGAACGTTTGAGTCGAGGTTGTAGTGATAATGGAGCATAAGAACAGGCTGCCCCTAAGGAACCCAAGGGAGAACGGGGGAATTCAGAGCAGATGCGAGTAGATCTAGGAAAAAGCATGTGAGTAGTGAGACGCACTGTGTTGAGATGATGATTGGTCGGGGTGTAGTCCTATTCAAGGGCCTATTGTTGCAACTCACATTTTGCAAGGATCGCCTGCAGCTGACGAAGGAATTGTTCGACGAGAATGTGGAGCGTTTGCGGGCCGAGTTTGAACGTTCCTTGGCTATTGCTTCCTGGGGGAAAAGCTGCGAGGCAGCTCAAACATTTGCTTTTTTTTTTGGTGAGTTATTGCGAAATCCCTTGCAGCGGGAGGGGGAGCCGAGTGTTCAGGAATGCGCGTGTAGCCGACGTTGAAAACTGCCAAGGCGCCCTTGCACAGGCGCATTTGTGCGTCACCTTCATCGACAATGCGCCTCGCAAGATTCAAGTCCCTACGAAAAGGTTGCCGTTTCATTCTGCCTTTTGTCTGAGGCTCAAAGTGCGGCCACGGAGGAGGAAGAGATCCTCCCGCCTGCAAGTTCACCTGAAATTGTCGACAGAAAGATGGATGCGGACCTCAGCCCAGCGGTTGCGTGCTAAGAGTGCTTGTGGCAGTTGATTGAGACAAGCACCGAAGATTTGTCCAACAGCTCCATGTACCAGGTGTCCCTCGTGCTCGATGCTTCGGTGAGTGACACCCATCAGCTGCGCAAGGATTTTTCGGACCGCAGCTGGCATGAAAGGGATCGGCCACGAGTCCTCATTGGCCAGTTGCGGGAATATGCGGGAATGATGTGCTGAGGCCAAGACTCTCCATCGGAGGCTGTCAGGTCAAAGGAGCTCCCGTTGCAAATGATGCAATCAACCAAGTCGGCAGAATCTGCGAACGAGTTGACGCGTTGACCTTGGCCAAGCAAGACATGCGCTGCATGATCCGTATGCTCATTGATGCTTTTGCATGCTTTTGTACTGAGGCTGGACTGTACAACTGCCTGGTTCAACATCCTTCCTGCGGTGGTCATCCTGCTGAATGCGTTGGCCATAGGGATCAGCCTCGACGTTTATCGTTGCTTGGTCAAGCATCATCACATCATGCCCTCATTTTGCATGCTATGAGTGGTGGGTTACATATGGGTACATTGCGTTGGTCTGCGTTAATTGCTTTTTGCCGTAAACGGGTCATTCAAACTTGTTGCTATGCCACCCCTTGCAAAGTATCGGCGCCTTAATGGCCTCACATCTTCAGGTGGGCACATTGCCTGGCAAGTCTTGGAATACTTCTTTGCAACTTGGACTTTGGCTGTTTGCGTCTAGCTCTTACATGCATACATGTATTGAGAGGCGTGTCTCTGCTGTAAAGATGCTATCGAGCAGTTGCTCAGTCCATGATTTGGGACTGCAGCATTCTGTTCCGCGGCCGGAATGTAGAAAACAGATATCGAGATTTTCTGGTTTGCGACCTCGTCAACCTCCAGGTGAAAGGAATTGCTCGCAGTTTCAATGGTTCGCCGGCCATGCCGGCCAAATTCCTGTGGACCGACGGCGCAATCGCATGCCAACTGCTGCGGAAGAACTGTAGCCAAGCTTGCGTGGAAGTCCAGCTTTGGAACGTGCGGGTATGTGCGGGGGGTTGGCCGGAAGAGTAGCTCGCCGCGCATCAACAGCCAGAGTTTCCGCGTTCACTTCGCATCGATGTTGTCCTGTTGAGAAGTGAGCCGGATGAACTACAGTAGCGCAATTGCGCCTGCTTTCCATCATCTCGTGATGATTACTTGTTCGATTTTGTTTGTGATGTTTTTGGCCAGGCTACTCAAACACGTGCAAAACCAGAAGACATGGCTTGGCTTGTTTGAGCAAGCGTCGCTCCCCCAACCCATGTCAACTGCCGCATGATACAATAGCGTGAACAACATCAAGCACAAGCATAGCTGCCAAGACTTGCAATCCTGCACGTATACACCTATGTGAGCTATAGCCTTAACTCCTTAAAGGGGGGGTTGTCTAGTGATTACACAGGGAGTGGTACAGGGGTTTAGGGGGGGATACAGGGAGTTTAGACTATAACTCATGTGGGGCGTTCAGTCGAGGCCGACCAGTGCTTGTTTCTGAAGATACGCTTTGGCCCCTGGGAGGGGTCGAAAGATGTTGGTCTCCGCGCTGCACAATTACAGCCCAGGGCCCTGAGGGTTGAAAACCTGCTGATATTCAATGTGGCTCCTGGATGACATAAACTTCGAAGTTAATTACAAAGAACAGATGGCACGCAAACAAACAAATCTTCGACCGGAAAATGCCCGTAAACACACCTGAGGAAACGAGGGCAACTCCCAAGAAAATGAATGTGGCAGAAATTGGCCTCACACGCCGGGCTGATGTATTGGAATGCGTCAGCGAGGCGGTGGGTTCCAAGTCCTCCCATCATGCTTGGGACAATTTTTTCGGATGCGACAGCTGCTGAAGGAGCGCAACCGCCAAGCGTGGCTGCCGCTAAGCAGGAGGTGCGCGTGCTACAGGGGGCTTCTCCTGCGCCATGCGAAGAAACAGGTGCGGAGGACACCAGCCGCAGGTGGCAGCAGCTGGCCAGCACCGCCGCGGACAAGCGTGCGCTCGAGATGCTGTTTGGTGATTTGGATGTCGCATGATGTTGCATAACGAGCGCGGTGTTTCTGTTCCAAAATGGCGAAGCGACTTGGCCCCGGCCCCGTCCTGCGCGGAGCTTGATGTCCTCAGCGATGAGTTTCGGTCCTCGCATTGCGGAGGCTCCGCTTGCCGTAGCCCTTCGCCCAACCGCGGTGTCGCTGCGGTGACCACTTGGGTACCACGGCGACCATTGCGCAGCCTGCGCAGAGTGAGGCGTCCGGCAGGGCGCATGCACGGAAACGGGGGCCCGGGTTGCAACTCACGTCGCGCTGCACGATATGAACCTCGTCGCTCCCGCACTTCAGGGCAGCGAATGAACGTCGTCGCAAGCGGTCCGCACGCCTGGCGAGGGGCCCAGGTGGCAATGTATACCACGCTCGTCAGCTCCGTGCCATGAAGCGGGCAAACGCAACCTTCTGCGCGAAAACGGAGCCGGGGCTGGCATTGCAGCAAGCCGCAGCGCGCAAACAACGCGCGCTGGGCGGGCAAGATGCCGCTTGGTAGTGTTTGGCCTGGGGGTAGGGGGCCGCGTCAATAGCAGCGTTGCCGCATTGCTGCGTTGCCTCGCTCGGGCAAGGGCCACCCAGCAGCGGCGCCAGGGCGGCGGAAACGACCAGACGGGGGCTGCAAAGAGTTGGACGGCGCTCGTGCCCTTTGCCAGCCTGGGCCACATGTTGGCACGCTACCTTGGCTGCTGTGGACCCTTCTGACAGTGCTGATTCACGTGTTGTTGGCTGTGGCAGCGTTGGGTTCGCTAATGGGTCTCCCGGAGCCGGACGGCTGCGGCAGATGAATGCCTCACGGGGCTTGAGCCAGCTGCTGGTCCAGGACGCGCTGAGCCCCTGCACGTGGACCTCGGGACCTTGAGACCTTGGGCGGTTAAAAGTGCGCGAGAGAGAGACAGGTCCTCGAACGACTGTGAGTCACAGTCATAGTGACGATCAGGCGCTACTGAAAGTACCATCATCGCAACGGGTTGTATATGGGGAAGCAACAAACGAAAGGTTCCCAAACGTCCATCCAATGAAAGTCATTCTACAATCAGCTTGCCCAAATCATTGCAAAACGCATTTGCCACACGCCACACGCTGCCTGATGGTATCACATCATATTTCACACGCAAATGATCATCGCCAGCATTCATGACCGTCATGACCCACTGCAACGGCACTTGTTGCACACTGGTTTTGACGTTGAAATGGCAATTTCGGTCATTTTCGCCTTTTAATAAAAAATAGTCAGGGGATCCATGTTCCCGCAATGCTTGCCGCAAACGATGCCAATCAATGAGATCAAAGGATGGATGTGCCGCCATGACACGCATCGGTCCGCACGGCGCTGATCACGGCACTGCCCGGCATACGTGATGCCAGCAAGCAGGAGCCAGTACGGGGACCGTCGCATGCGTGGAAGCCTTTCCTGCTGCCGCGCATGTTGCTGGCGCGTTCTGACTGAAGAGGTGCGCAAGCATGGGACGAGCTGCTGACGCGGGCGTTTGCTTTCCAATGCTGGGGGGCTTGGGTGTGCCTAGGTCCGAGGGGGAGCTGTCCTGCGCCCGCCATATATCCTTACCGCTGCTGAGCTGGCGCCCAGGGGAATGTCCTTGAACGACCATGGGTCATGGTCACAATTGTGAAACATGCACACCAATGTATGTACAAGCCCCATTCAAGCACGCAGGAAACAACCCATCACATTTCACACGCATCAGCTGCTTGACAAATTGCGTCCACAAAGCAAATGTTCTGAACAATTTGACGGGCTCGTGAGTGTTCATGCCAGGGTTGGTGCAGAACAAAACGTGCTGATCCAATGATTGATGTGCTGTGCGGGCTTGCCACCTTTCACGCCAAATGCGATGGGCATTACATTCAAGTAATGCGTGATGCAAGGAATCACGTTCATGTGCGCAAAATCGACATGGACGGGGGGCATCCCCTCGATGACGGGCCGACCGCCCATCACCGAAACAATGATGGCCGCATCTCGCCAGCCCCCAATACCGGGCAAGCACAGGGAGCACATGCCTGCCATAGACGATTGTGTGGAGGTTGGGCACCGGTTGCCAGTGAGCAAGAGAACTGAGCGACTCAGTTGCGAGCAGGGCTGCATCATAGGTGGCGTTTGAGTACCGAGACACCACCATCTCTACATGCCGGAGCCGACGACCGTAGGTGCTCCTCGGGGCCACATGAGCAGGCGTCCGTCCCCATTGAGAAAACCAGGCGTTCAAACGCTGAAGCTCAGGCTCATCCATGACAAATTCCAAGCCAAAGGATGCTGATGGGCGAACGTAAGTTTGGAAAATGCGCCCACTAAGACATACAGGGAGATCTTCCGAGGCGGTCCATGTGTTTGCACATACAGGAGTTGCTGGCTGCCCAAATGAAATTGTGGGCGGACCCAGCCATGATGCCTCGTGGCATGCCCTAACAGACCTTGCCAGACGGCCCCCGCAGCCACGCACGGCCGTCCTTGCACGGCGGGCCCGGACATCCGTTTCGGACCAACCGTTGTTGCCGCGGGACGCCAAGCGCTGCGGATCAGCAGGCCTCGCGGGCGGGCAGGCCTTCTGGCCACGGGGCAAGGACCAGTCACCGGCCAACAAAAATAATTTGATTTTTTTTTTCCCTCGGACGCACAACTTTCCATCCCGTCAGGCGTGAGACCCTAAATCTATTGTCCGCCATATCAAAGGGAAGCTCCAGCAACGACCAGGCCAATGCCCGCTGGGCGGCCACAGCCAACATTCCCGCCCAACGGCGGTTTGCCGCCTGACGCGTTTCATGTTCCCCAATTTGTCTGTCCGCTCGGTCCAACGTCCTCCTCGTCCTTGCGTGCAGATCCTTTAATTGTATCCCGCGTCTTTTTCTTTAATAAGCCAGCGTGCCTCTGTACACCTGCTCCAAGGGATCGGAACATAATCCCAACAGGGGTCCTGCCCCCGCAACTACGCCCCGCCCACATATACATCCCAACAGACTATCTAATCTTTGGAAAAGGGATTCCCCCAAAGACGCTCACACCTCAGGGTAGTACCCAAGATGCTGCGAGCACTGCGAGAGTCGGCTTGGAACTGAGACGCTTTCGTGCTGGCTGTGTGGTCCACCCTCTACAAGGGGTGTTTTCAAAGGGTTTCCCCAGGGTGTTTATCAAAAATCTGAATTGTATGGAACCCTTATGGCTATGACATTGTCGTGGCTCACGGCTCGAAGTTCATGGTGTGGAACGGCGCGGGGCACACAATTCATAGCGCAATGTCACGAGGGCACGGAACCAAGGCTTTGGTTCAGTGGTGGCAAGAGCATGATCCGGAAAGTCCAGAACGTGACCAGGGGATACCAGGGGCCCATGGCCATGTTCCGGACCAAACATGATCGTAGACGGTTATTCAAGACCGAACCTCCTGTGTTCAAGCACCGATTACCCTTCTCTCAAAGAACATGCTGCGCGGCATGTTGAACCATATACAGCACACGTGCATCTACAGCAAAGCGACCATTGACAACAATGATGGGACAAGACGCGCGGTAATTGCCTCGCAGCGCTGCGCAATGGCGCGGGAGCAGCCATGCCGCTTGAAAGTCTTCGGCTTCAACCAGGTCATGCCGTCGGCAACAACACACATTTTCGGACGTATGTCTTGCTGTCCACCATTTGTGGAGCCGTGTTTTTTGATGCAAAATGTGCGCCCCTGGAGCAGCAATATTAGGCGAACTGGGTTGGGCGCTTCCCGGCATGGAAGCCAAACGGTTGCAATATTGTTTGCCCGCCCGCCCGAGTGCAGCGAGCACACACAGTGTCCTTCGTGGCTTGGCAGGGCGGGTCATCCAATTGACCTTGAATTGTCAGGCCCTACTGCTTGCAGATTCGCCAAGTACCAGCCACGTTTCACCGGCGGTAACAACATGCATCTTTCCAGGCTGCTTGTCTCCGCTCTCCGTGGACGGACATTGGCCCGATGTGGCCATCATCTGTATCGCCATATGCATAGCCCCAAGTGTGGTGCCACATGCTGGACGTTTCTGCGCAGCATGAATGGACGCCCCCCGTTTGACCTGCATCATCAACAATGGCTGAGGCAATTGGGTCTGCAACTCGTGCTTCAGTTAGGTGATGCAAAGCGGCCAACATGGGTTTGTGATCCCGCAGCAAACGGTCAATTACGCCGTTTTCTCCTCTCCTCTCTCTTCTCCTCTCCTCTCCTCTCCTCTCCTCTCTTCTCCTCTCTCTTCTCCTCTCTTCTCCTCTCCTCTCCTCTCCTCTCTTCTCCTCTCTCTTCTCCTCTCCTCTCCTCTCCTC